AGGTAACACGTGCGCGGGCAAAGAATTCTACTTACGAATAGTGCGACAAAGAAATGAGTCACCAAATTTCTTTGTTCGTTTAGGAATAGTGGCCACAGTAAGTCGGTGGCAACGTAGGCCAGCGAGCGTGGTCCTCTGAAGAAAAGGTGATGGAGGGATAAGGGAGAATAACTCCTCAGAACACTCGCCGTGGTATAGTCGGTAGAATGCGCCACAATTAATGATGCCACAGCGCGGCGTAATTGTAGACTCGAGTATCTTAGTTAACTCTTCATCGCCAATGATGCGGGCAGCACGCCGCTGCAACCTATCCGTTTACCCGAATTCCATTGGCACTCGTATTCGGGCTAACGACCCAGTGTAATCACGTCATAATTCGAGCGAGAAATCCGATATGCTCTACCTTTCTTATAAAAATATATATGGGCCAACGTTTCCTGATCGATTATGATATATTACAATGAATAAAAGGACTTAAACTGTACCTACTGCTAAACATAATATATTTTCCATTTAATCATAATTTCAGCTAAGAGAGTCAAAACGACCCGTTCCAGTCATAAAAACCCGATCGACGAACGAATGTATTGCGTCCTTGGATGGAGCTATATGTGATATGTTGGCGAAACGCAATAAAACGACGCAGCGAATCCGAAAATACATGAGGCCGGCTCCAAACATTGGCCCCAACATTCGCCTTAAACCCAACAAATGTATTATATAACCGAAATATTTTTCTTCTTTAAAACTTCATGAAAAGCACAATTATCATGAATTTTTCCAAGTTTTTCAAGCCAATATTTTAGCTTTTAGAGGGGGACCACCCACTTGAACAGAAACAGAAACCCTAAATCGAAAAATAGTCTTAGGAACCCTTAAGTAGTTTTAAAGGACCTATTCAACTATGATGAAAAAAAACATCCCCAGGTTACATGTAGGCGAGATACCATAAAAAATTTTATTCTACCATTTTGTTGGCGTAATCGATAAACATATCTCCACAAAGGACAATGGGCAAAACGCACCCAGCTCCGCCAACAATGTAATTAGTATGAGTCGATAGATCTATGAAAAACTAGACTTTTTTATTATGACACCGAAAATAAATATCCTGGTAATCAAAAGATATGATACCGTTAAAAATATCCTAGTAGTCAATAGATATGACATATGGGCATATTTAAGTAGCTGAATAATTTCATTTTATAATACCTTCATTTTATATTATTAGTAATCATAATAATATGCCATATCGAACTATACAACCAGATATACGACAAAGCCTGCCGACCATCCTGCGCTTGCTCTTACTGAAACATTTCAAAACGGTTTACGAATGCTGAAGGTCTTGCAGTTGCAAATAGTCGACTCGTCTTACTTCCTTGTGATTTGTGCGCTCCCTGCTACCTGATTGATTTTTATCTAACACGCTTTGAATATTGGAACACGATTATCGGTTTTGTCAATAGTATGGATAAACTGGAATGTGTTCTCCTTCGAAGTCCGAAGCGTGGACAAGTTTGTGTAATCTGTGGTCGCTCCGTTTTACATAGAAGACAATTAACTATAACGAACAGAATGTTTGAAAAAACCCGACCCATGCGGGGATTTTTGGATTTACTCTAGCGCAGCAGAATAACAAAAGGGGACACCCTTGCACCTTATGAAGTACTCCCATGATTCCTAAGCACCCTATGTAGGGTCGAACTAACTAACTAAATTAATTCCTTGTTTCATTAATGTCTTTCGTTATAGTACTTGTACATATTTAACTTAAAATAACTAAAGACCCCCCCCGATGGAATTTGATGCGCTTTCGCACAGATGATCTTGACTATAATACCTTTCAAACAAACATTTGTTTGTTTGAAAGGGCTTAAACTATGTAGTTTGTTCAAACAAACTACATAGTTTAAGCCGTGGCGGACATGGGTGCAGCGTCTATACATTTTTGCCCAATGTCCTTACAGCTCTCTAGTGCTAAAATCCTCCAAGCAAAACTGGGGACATGACAAAACTATAAGGGTTCCTTATCAGGGGGAAAATCGCCTAGCGGGATTGCTATGGCTATCGCTATCGCTTACGATTTCATTTTGTTATTTCTGACCGCTGAAGGTAACAACAATATTAAAGAAAATGAGCGTACGGTATTTGAAAACTTTCGGCGGTCAGAAATAACAAAATGATTTGGAGATAGCGATAGCCATTCCGGATCCCATAGGCGATCAGGACTACGGAACCCAAAAAACAAGGTACATAGTAACAATCCCGCTAATAGCTATTATAGATATACATTCCGTGTAAACAAAAGAGATGCATATATTCATAGTTGATCGCCGACTGTTCACAATGCCGGCGAGGTATCAAAAATAATACTCTCAAAAAGCGCGCGCATGCATTTTTGCCCAGGATTGTCTCCGCGGACGAGTGGCGCTAGTAATCTTCCGTCCTATTCGCACACTCGCTTATAGCCTTGCGATAAAACTATCGGAACTACACACTCGCTTCCCGCTTCTCAACAACTTATTTTCAGTAGCTCTACCCGCTTCTTGTTCATCGTCGGCGCGGTGGGATAAGTGCGTAACAACGATATATCGTTGGTGCCTAAGGCCGTATACAGGACGAAAGCTGGAAGCCGAACAGCGCTTGTCAGCGCTGGTAACATTTACATAAAGGATTGAAGCGTAGTTGTTCATTAATTTTAAAGGGCGGTGCAAGCGCTGACCAAAGCTGCGCAAGTGTCGGCACTTGCCGGTGACGTTCGGTGCTTATCGGCGCTGATCCATAGAAATGCTAGCGCCGGTTACCGGTAAGGACCAGCGCTGACCAGCGCTGACAAGCGCTGGTCGGCTTTCAGCTTTCTTTCTGTATGCGGCCTAAGCCTGTATCCCACGGCGCGCTTCCCACAGATCGAGCCTAGCTAGGCCAACGGGACATGTGAACAGTCACATTCACATCCGACGAGGGCTGTCGTGTCGTCCTTTTCATGTTAAAAGGGTGGCAAACAAACGTAAGACCCGCCTAATGGTAAGCGGCCACCACAGCCACTTGCGATACCAAAAACCCCACTGCTGGGGCACAGGTCTTCAATATGGATGGAATTGGGAGATTGTGCCATGACCCAGAGCAAAATGGCGGGTGCTAACGACTGCAGATGCAGCCAGGACCAACGGCTTCACGTGCCTTCCGAAGCACGGAGTAACTCGAGATAGAAGATTTTTGGTCACCCATCCAATGACAGACCACTGCGAAAGTTGCTTAACTTCAACGATCACAGCCGAACGCGCTAACCACCTGCGCCATCGACCTCCTCTACCCTTGCCTGCTCTGAGCCAATTAAAACTAAGAATGTTCCGAACATTGTATGAGGGCGCGAGTCACAGAGACGAGAGTCTCTAGTTGAGCCGACCCCCTGAGGTTCGAGTGGTATAGAGGCTCCATTTAGGCTTTATTTCGTTTCCCTCCGATTCCAGCGGCCTAGGCACGTCTTACCTTAGAGTACCCCGACGACAAAATCACCCGCGCCAACGCGCCTCCCACTCATCTCACACAGACCACAAACACCAACACTACACAGCTAGCATACTTGCACACTAGCTTAGCATTAGGCAGACACCGCACCCGTACGATAAGAGTGCGAAGACCCGGTCTACACACGCACGCTATACCAGGTACAATACCAGGACGTTTATCACCGCCCCCCACGACAACGGCTAACTAGAGCCGAGGTCCGAGTCACGAAGACGCCCTCTAGTTAAGCCGACCCCCTTAGGTACGAGTTGTCTAGAGGCTCCAAACGGGGAGGAGACTCTCCTCGTGGGGAGATGCCATCCGCCTGAAATACCTCTAGAGGCACTCCCCAATTCTTGGCTTGAAGTCCCTTAGGATCTCGCCGTCCCGAAACCCAGTGATGCTGTAAAGGTTCCCTATGATCAACAGCATACACTACAGAGTGAGAGATTAACCAAATTTCATTATGACCGTATGCCCCATGAATATCTTGTAGGGAATCAGTTCACCACAGCTTTACTATCAAAGAATAGGCTTTAGTAGGTGCTGCATTCAGCCGTCTTCAGTTTTAATAATTTTCTTTTTTATACATTAGAATGTGGGTGTGACGCATATTAATGGTTCTTATAATGTTTGGCAGGAAATAAGCTTCTGTGTTGTAGTCAACACTAATGAAGTTCTCATGTCCACTTAACCGGAATAGTGTATATTTATAAGATTATGAAGTTGCACAGAGGGTTGTAATACAAAATCACACCAATTGTATTTCAAAATATCCACTATGAAATAAAATCCCACCAAAAACTCTGGTTTTTTTTTACAGATGACTCGACATCACCTGATGGTAAGTTACAGTGGAGTCTAGACTCAAAAGTAGGTAGCTAAATAGTTTCCAGCACTCTAGAAAGGAGACTTCATAAAGTTAAAATGTCAATAATATAATTATATTTTACCATAGATGGGTAAACACACCATTACTATCGGCCTATTAAAGTGCCCACTGCTGAGGCACACACCTACCCTATGTGTGAAATAGGAAGAACAGATATAGACCCGACGGTCATCACAAGGGCCACAGTGCAAATTATTGGATGTCTAAGAATGCAGCAAACATTCACTGGACAAAATCAGCTCAAGATAGGAAAGAATGGAAAAAACTGGAGGAGGCCTTACCCTAAGAGGGATCCTTGCACCTGAATAAATAACTAACTTAACAATTAAGAACTGTAACTAACTAATAACTTTTTTCAAAATGTAAATAACCTATAAGGATTAATAAAAGGCTTTATTAATATTATTAAGAATGCAGGTGCGGCCAGGGCCAATAGCTTAAATGTGACACAAAACAAACTTTATTTGTGAACAACATCTTTGTAAACAAATATAAATTGAGCAAGTTACCCAAGACTTTACCAGATAATTTAAATAAGAACATTCCCATAACTCCCACCTTAAATAAAAAAAAAGTTTATACTTTTTAATTTGCTCACCTGTGTAGGATGTGGAACTGTATGAATCTGCCGATGAGGCAGACAGGGATCTGCTTCTATACCGAGCGGACTTCTTCAGTGCGCTGGATTTCGCGCGCTGTCCTTCGAATTTTCCCGCGGTCCCTTCAGTGGGACCACCTCTGACATGACCAGGGTCAGTGACGGGGCTATCACTAGGTACATTTGCCGCCACCACAATTTCTTTTTTCACTTGGTTCGGTTCCCCTTGCCCTTCTGACATTTTACAGGGCACGGTTTTATCTTTATATTTTTTTTATTTTATTTTTTATAGTGACCTCTTTGCTTTAATTCAATTAGGGAGAAGCTTATTTAAAATCGGGAAATAATCGAATAAATTATAGCATCGCACATTATAATAGTTTGCACACTTCTTTAGCGAACTAAATGATAGCACGAATTTAAATTGATTAAATTAATATTAAATTTCTAAAAAACATCAGCACAAACAACCGCAGTACGATTAAACTAAAGCGGTTTTCATTATAAAAAGCATTGGGTTTAATTATTATGCGGTAAATTGTGATACAAAATTGTCACTCGTTGCATTACTGATGCAATAAATAACTACAGAGTTTCGGAATTATCACAATTTTCAATATCCGTGAGGTGAACTGAAAACGTAAACCCTCCTCTGCATGTTTCACCCCCGACCCCATTTACTGAAATGTCATTTTTCTTTCGATCGGTTTTCCACAATGGTTTTCCACCAGTAGAAAAACTGAAACATTGTCTATGGGTGGAATACGGAAAACCGGTTTTTAAATGGATGATAGATCATGGACTTATTATTCATCATGGATAGTACAAAACGAAAAACTAATAAATTATTATATCTATTAAAAATACTATTGTTCACCTTAGTTTATAAAGGAAAATACTTAAATGATGCATACCACCGCCACACTAAGCTCCTCGAGCTACCCATCGATTGTTGCTATTAAGAATATGTGATTTAATACTTGGCATTATAGTATTTGAATCCCTTTGCCTTTTTGTAATCTACGTTATTAAAAAAAAAAGGTATCTTGCTTCTGGTTTTTTGCTGTACCCAAGAATGGTGCGTTGTGTTTTTATGTAAAAGAGTTGTAATGATAATATAAATGAAAATAAAGTGTTTAAAGAAGAAAAGCCGCATTTAATATTTTCTGCCATTATCCTAACATGGTAGCAGAGCGTGGTTAGTTTGTTATGAAGAGTGCGTTAATTTGCACACAATGGCGGAAAAAGATTTTACATTGCAAGTTTTTGATGGCTCTAATTATACAAAATGGAAGTTTCGATTAAAACTGTATTTAGAAATGAAAAATTGTTTGGAAGTAATAACATCCGAAAAACAAGAAAATGTGTCTGCGGAAAATTGGTCAAAAATGGACATCAAGGCTCGAAATTATATTGTAAATAGCATAAATGATTCCCAATTGGAACTTATTATTTCAGAAACTAGTGCCAAACAAATGATTAAAAAACTTGACGATACATATGAAACAAAAAGTTGTGCAAGTAAATTAATATGTAAACGGAAACTATTAGAGTTAAAAATGGCGGATGATGCCAACCCCACCGATTTCTTTAACACTTTTGAGAAGCACATCAACGAATTAAAACAATCGGGAGAAGAAGTTTCTACAGAGGATAAATTAAATTACTTATTGTTGTGTTTGCCTGAAGGATGTTCACATCTTATAGATATTGTTGATGCACTACCTGATAAAGATAAATCAGTGGAATACATTAAATCAAAATTAATATTAGAATATAAAAAGAGAGAGAGTGCTCAGAGTTTTTCAAAAGTGGAGTCCTTCAATATACAGTCTTCCAAGTTGCCCAACAGTCAAGTTATTGGAATGCAAAACAATAATGATTACATATGTTACGGGTGCAAGAAACCTGGTCATATCCTGAAATATTGCCCAATTAATAAGAACTACAGAGGTAGAGGTAATTGGCGAGGTAGACGAAATTGGAGAGGTAGAGGAAATAATTTCAGAGGAAGAGGAAGGACAGGGAATATGGCAAATGTATCTCAAATCGACAACCAATCATTTAATGTGGAAGTAATGACATCGGAGGTAAATACATCTTATGCATCAAGGAGTAATGAAAAGGTAACATTTTTATTAGATAGTGGTTGCTCAGATCATATTGTAAATGATGACAGGTACTATACCGAGTTTATAAATTTAGAAAATCCTATAGATGTTAAAGTTGGTGATGGTTTTTCTCTGAAAGCAAATAAAATTGGTAGTATTAATATTTTGTGTAATGTTACAGGTAAAAGAGAAAATATAAGAATTAAAAATGTGTACTTTGTTCCAACTATGAAGCAAAATTTGTTAAGTGTTTCAAGTATCGTGAAAGAGAATAATTCTATAGTTTTTCAAAATAACATTGTTAAAATATATAATTATAATAGAAGGCTCATTGCATCAGCTTTCTTAAAAAATAAATTGTTTATGTTAACAGGTTTTTTAAATAAAGAAATTCATAAAAATGTAAAATCATACACAAGTGTTTCTCAAATGACTAATAAAGAAAAATGGCACAGAATCTTAGGTCATACTAATTTTAAAAATTTACAACAAATGTGTGCATATGAGAGTTTGCAAGGTTTACCAAATAAAATAGAAAATAGCTATATACAGTGTGAAATATGTCTAACAAGTAAAATGTGTAACTTACCTTTTGCAAATAATAGACATCAAACTCGTGATATTTTACAGTTGATACATACCGATGTTCATGGTCCCTTAAATCCTACAGGTTATGGTGGTGAAAGATATTTTGTAAGCTTTATTGATGATTTTAGCAAAATTGCTATGGTGTACTGCATTAATAAAAAAAGTGAAGTGTTTGATTGTTTTTTTAAATATATTAGGTTTGTACAAAATAAGACTGAAAAGAACATTAAGGAAATTCGTTGTGACAATGGTAAAGAATACATAAATAAAGATTTTTTTAAGTTATGTAAACAAGAAGGAATATATTTAAATCCAGCTCCACCATATACGCATGAGCTTAACGGTGTTGCTGAGAGATACAACAGAACTATTGTGGACAGAGCAAGATGTTTACTACAAGAAGCAAAATTAGATAAGCGTTATTGGCCTGAATGTGTAAAAGCAGCAAGTTATATAGGAAATCGACTGTTAACTAATACCTATATTAAGAAAACACCTTATGAACAATTCTTTGGTATAAAACCAGATGTCTCACATTTCAAAATTTATGGAAGTACAGCTTTTGTTAGAATACCTGAGGAGTGTAGAACATCAAAGCTAAATGCTAAAGCCGTTAAAGGAGTGTTAGTAGGATATACAGATATGGGATATAGAGTGTTAGTGGAAAATAAAATAATAATAAGTAGACATGTAAGGTTCATAGATAATGATGCACAGAGTATAAAATTAGACATGGGTGAAAATGAAAATTGTGAAAAAGATATTACAGAAATTAATCATAAAGAAAATGAAGATGAAGCAACATGTAAACAGGATGAAGAAAAAGAAATGATAGAAGTTAATGAACAAGAAGATAAAAGAAAAGAAATTAAGGAGGTGGAAAGAAGAGTGTTACCAGAAAGAATTAGAAAACAACCTAACAGATTCAATGACTACTTTCTTTATGCTAATTATTGTGATGTTGATGTTCCAAATACATATGAAGAAGCGGTTAATAGTACAGAATCAAAAAGATGGACTGAAGCCATGAATGAAGAAATAAAATGCTTAGAAAAGAATAAAACTTGGATAGTGACTGACATACCTACAGATAAAAACATAATAGAGGTAAAATGGATATATAAAATAAAGACTAATGGAAAGTATAAAGCGCGTGTTGTTGCTAAGGGTTTTCAGCAAGCATTTAATGAAAAGGAAGAAATTTACTCACCTGTTGCAAGAATGACTACCTTGAAAGTCCTATTATCTACTGCTTGTGTTTATGGATGGGAAATCCAACAGATGGATGTTGAAACAGCTTTCCTTAATGGCAAAATAAAGTCAGAAATATACATATATCCCCCAGATGGTTATAAAATTCATAAAAATAAAGTTTGTTTGCTACAGAAAGCTCTATACGGTTTGAGAGAAAGTCCACGCGATTGGTACGAGTGTTTTCATGATTTCATGATTCAAATAAAGTTTAAAAGATCCAAACATGATTACTGTCTATACACTGGATACATAAATAATCAGAAAATACATATTATACTATACGTTGATGATTTACTAATATTTTGTGAAAAAATAAATGTTATTAATAAAATAAAAGAAATGCTAAGTAATAATTTCTGTATGAAGGATTTGGGAAGAGTTAAACAGTACCTGGGAATAGACATACAATATAACTTAAAGGAAAAGAAAATGTACTTAAGTCAAGAAAATTATATACTAAAGTTAGCTGAAAAATACAATATTATGGATTCGAAGAAATATGAAACTCCTATGGAATTAAATTTAAAGCTTGAACCAGCAGAAAAACTAGATGAAAATTTGAAATATAGAAATATTATTGGTTCATTATTATACATAGCAAATGGGTCTCGTCCTGATGTATCTTACCCAGTTAATTATCTTAGCCGATTCCAAAACTGTTGCGATGCTACACATTATAAATATGCTTTGAGAGTGCTCAAGTATTTGTATCATACAAGAAAATTAGCACTAAACTACTTTGGAGTCTATAGTGACATATTGGATGCATATGTGGATGCAGATTGGGCATCAGATGTGGTTGATAGAAAGTCTACTTCTGGTATCATATTAAGAGTGTTCGGAAATGTAATACTATGGAAATCACAAAAACAGAAAATTGTATCACGAGCATCTACTCATGCTGAATATTATGCTCTAGCTGATTGTGTCGAGGAGGTGTTACCCATAAAAGGAGTACTGAGTGATATTGGTGTTAATGTAAATCAAAGTGTTAGCATTTATGAAGATAACAGTGGTGCTATTGCCTTAGCTAAAAATGGTAAATTCTGCAAAAACTCAAAACATATAGATGTTAGTCATCATTTTGTGTATGACTTTGAAAAGAGTGGCTTAATTAATGTAATAAAAATCTCTACAGAAGATCAGATAGCAGACATTTTAACAAAATCATTAGGAAAATTTAAATTCACAAAGTTCAGACAGTTAATTGGAATATTGTAATAAAATTGGTCATAATATATTGTATCCGCTTTTGAAATATAAAACTATTGTAAGTGTTTATTATTGTAAGTAACTAATGCGTGTATTAAATCAAGGAGGTGTATTAAGAATATGTGATTTAATACTTGGCATTATAGTATTTGAATCCCTTTGCCTTTTTGTAATCTACGTTATTAAAAAAAAAAGGTATCTTGCTTCTGGTTTTTTGCTGTACCCAAGAATGGTGCGTTGTGTTTTTATGTAAAAGAGTTGTAATGATAATATAAATGAAAATAAAGTGTTTAAAGAAGAAAAGCCGCATTTAATATTTTCTGCCATTATCCTAACAGTTGCCCTGTTGACTCCTTTGCCCATACACTGCTCTAATCGAGAAGCTCCGCACTAGCTAATTGCCTTTGATATTCGATAAACGATATAACTGTGTTAATGTGCGCGCTATGCATTTTTTATTATAGAGAATTATATCAAAAACCTAACAAATATAGGTGACCATCCAATATTTTATTAAAGGGCCACTTGCAAAGCTAAATCATAATATAATTGTTTAAAGTTAAATAAAAAAGATTACTGAAAACGATAAAATATTTCAGAAGGTATGCTTGCAACTAAGTTGCTAGAAAAATAAAATAAGTTTAATTTATTTTACGTTTCTCATAAGAACCTTGGTTGCAAGTACTAGTTCAAAACCTTATGAAATATTTTATATCGTTTTCAATGAAAAGAACATTGCAAAAAATAATTTACTTTAAAAACCGGTTTTAATCGCAAGTTCTCTATGGTCCCTATATTATTTTCGGACGCACTATTCGCCAATATGGCACTGAAACGTATGACAACCGCTGTGCAACTAAACAACTAGGAAATAACTCCGGGATCTATTTTATCAGTCTACTTGGTAAGTTTAGTGCCCTTGTATTATTACTTATACATATTACATACTGCCTCACAGTAAATAGTTATCAATTAATTATTTATTCATGTGTTCAGTGACTGCTTTCTATTTTGTTACCCCATCTATGACCGGTGAAACAGAGCTATTTAGAGTTTTTAATGCGTTTATTCCTTGAAATCATGACTGAAAATAACATAAATACACATGGAAATGAACATTTAAGTGTTAATACATAAATGTTCCCATCGAAGTCGCTGTCGACAAACAGTTTTGCAAATGTCATTTGGTATTTTCCTGTTGGATTTGAGATGTTTTGTCGTGTGTCGCAGTTATATTCTTGTCAATAAAACAACTTATCTGCTTAAGTAAACAGTTATACAGTGGATTACGGTTGTTTTTGTGTTATACCATTGATTTAAGTAACCTCTTATGATTGTTTTACGGAAGCTCATATGAGAGCAAACTCGCGCCAAGGAAGAACAATATCGCTTTGTTTCAACAGGTGCAAATGCCAAACTGTTTTATTTATTACATTTGTTGTGTTGTTAACGGTTAATGCAAGTATTAAATGAATTTGGCATTCTAGCTCACAAATTGAGTCCAAACGCTTGTAAAACTCGCTAAGTCGTTGCTTCGTTTCACTCCGCCCGACGTTGGACACAATTTGTTAGGCTACTTGGTATGAGTGTTGAAAATATTTATTTATTATTATTTATATTTCATTTTTCGATTTGTTATTGGCAGTGTATGTTTATATACACCAGCAACGTAACTGAATGTCATTTATGAGATACCAATGATATGTAGAGGTTAATGTAGTCAGAAATGATGAAATTTGTTAAACAAAAAGAATCAATAAAATTAGAATGTATCTGCCCTGCAACAACTAACGCGCAAAAATGACATGGTAACTAATTGTCTTATAAAATACGTTGTATTGTTTGTGGTCCATCAAACTGTGGGAAAACCAATTTAGTTATAAGTTTATTGTTACACACGAATGGTACATGTTTCAGAAACCTTTATGTGTGTTCTAAATCGTTATATCAAGCTAGATACCTATATCTAGTAAAAAAATTTGAAATAATACCTGATACATCATTTTATAAATATAACCATAAGAGTGAAATTTCGGGCCCACACAACTAACAGATTTGATAATAATTTTCTATGATGTTACTTGTGAAAATCAAAACAACATCAGATTATTTTGCCATTAGACTTCATAGAAACAGATTGTTTTTATATGAATCAAACTTATACAAAAATGTTTTTTTATTTTTATGTAGACAACATGCAAGAGACAATTCCAATTTGTACCATTGTATAGTTATTACATACCATCAAAGTCAGCATCAACTATTAAACTTAAAAAAGAAATTACAACAAACTCAAAATTATTAATATGTTGCAAATCCCTAACTAATCAAGCTTGTAGTAATAAAAATGCATAGGTAGTAGGTGTAACAATATTAAAAATAAAAAGCCACTGGTTGGCATCCGTATCTAGAATGAATAAAGGCAGTGGTTTTTACTATGATTACAGAAAAAAAAGATTGAAAATTTTACTAAAATGACATTGCACATAGGAAATGTTTCAGCATTGCAGAATTTTTGATTTCTTTTCTTTACTCAAATACTTGTGTATTTGAATGATAAATAATCACTTTTTATAGACGATCAACACAAATAAGGAATGTAAGAATAATATGTATTAAGTACATATTATGTAAATAAATGAACATCCATAACAAAGGCAAATTGCACAAACTTATCTATTTCTGAGTGCAATGCTTTGTGTTTATTAGATTAGGGATGCACTATACTGGCAGGCTGGGATGACATATTGACATCAAATATACATAACAAGCGGCCGCCCGCAACTTTGTACGCGTGGAGTTAGTTAGAAATAAAATTTCACTGCTCGTTCCCCGTAGGTGATAGCATGAAAATATGTAACCTATTTGTTGACCCGACTTCTTAATAATATTCATGGCAAAGGACAATGCCAGAAGTTCTATAGAGGTTTAACCCACCCGATAAAAATGGTGTACACAAATGCGATAAATGACTTTTCATAGCTGTAATATAAGAAATCAAAATAGTAAAGTTCTAAATTCTCTAGAAGCTGTGGTTATTGAATAATATACTTACAAAGAGTACAATTATCATACGTTTCTCGAGCTGCAATTTGAGCAGAAAATTGGAATTTCTATAAATTATTATTCAACAGTGTCCGTATTGTAGGTCTGATAGTGTTTAAACGACATGCCTTTGTATTCTATCGAAACATAAATAACAATTTATGCATCTCAACATGGTTCCAAATCACAAACGACAATGTCGTACAAATCCTTTTTTTTTGACGGAAATGTCAATCAAAAGGATATCAATCCAGAGTAACGTTTAGTTTCACATATTTACTACCACTTAATAATGTGTATGCGCATTAAAAATACAAGGTACTATAATCGTTAAACTTTTTTATAAACATAAATTAATTATATTTATAACCAAAATGCTTATTTTATCCATAATATTAAAAATAGAATGATATTTTGCGAAAACATGACTGGTATTTTACTGTCTGTCGTGAAACAAAACGCATATGCCATGTTTTCGTTCTTCTCCTAACGGAAACAGTAGATACAAATTATTTTAATATTTATTTCGTATCCGCCGCTTTTACAAAGTAATAATTAAATCGGTACGAGAAAAAAAGTCGTATATATTTTTTCATAAATTTAATATTACTGTATATGGTGGGTCAGAATCTGTCATTGTCATTGAAGTAAATCTACACAGTACTTTTTGAGTTTATCCCGGACATACAAACAGACAAAAATTCTTAAAACTGTATATTTGGCTTCAGTATTGATTGTATATCACACCCCAAGTACTCTTTTCAAAAAATATTCAATGTACAGTTTTGACTTTCCTATCATTTTACTATATGTAAACGGACGACCTCCGTGGCCGAGTAGTTTGTTCGCCGGGTTTCATGATGTCGCCGACTCGAGAGGTCCCGGGTTCGAATCCAGGTGGAGGCATCTGCCTCCACCGGGATTCGCTCGTATTCATCACACAAACATCTGTTTGTGTGATGAATACGAGCATTTGTACTCCAGTCATGGATGTTTAATATATATGAATATACTTATATATGTACAGTATATGTATTCTATCCGTTACCCTAGCATCCCATAAAACAAGCCTTACAGTGCTTACTTTGGGGCTAAGCTAATTGGTGTGAGTGTTGGAAATATTTATTTATTATATGTATAGATCGTAAGGGCCAAATAACAATATTAAAATTCAAATATAGATTTAATTGAAAGCTTTGTTTGTATGTTATAATAGTTCCTACACACAATGCCGGACCGCTATTGCCGCGCGTCTGTGCCGGCACGCGCCGCAGAAACTTTGACAAATATCACTCCCACAATAGGGTATTTGACAGTATTAAAAATAAAGTCCCAATTGTTAGCATCTGTGTTAAGAATGAATATTGGCAGGGGGTTTTACTGAAAACCCACGAAAAAGATAATAGTTTTCTTATCTATTGTGACACGTGACCCAAAACGCTTGGGATTGGCGGAGCCTAAAATGACGTCACACGCAAGTAAACTTCCGGTTAAAGTGACATTACATATTATCGTTTGACGTTTTAATAACAGTCGTGTGATGTCACACACTAGTAAGACGCCATATTGTCCAGAGAAACGTTTTCGCGGCAACTTGAATTTTGCGTTTTTGATTTGGTTATTTTTACTGAACAGAATGATGAATATCCACTTTTAACGGACTCCATAAACATTAGTCAATAACGTGAGATTGTTTTCTAAAACTTGTCAAATACCCTATTGCCTACCCTGACTTAATCCCTTACCCTGTGGAGCCCTGAAACCTTACCTACTTAGCTTATTGTTAGCTTTAATGAAGTGTTACTTCTTTTCGGATGGGGTGTTAGTGGAAAAATCCTATATATATGTGTGTGTGTGTGTGTGTGTGTGGGATGCGTGCGCACCTCTTCCCGACGAGCATGAAAATTGGAGCGTAACTCGGCGAAGGCTGAAACGCTACGAGCGTCACACGCGACTATATGTGTATATATATATATGAGTGATGCATGCACTGCTCCATTCCCCTATGCCTTATGCACCGCCTCATGTTAGGTTATTTAAGAAAATATGTTTCACTTCAGATGTGTGGTCCGTGCACACATATTTTTTTATTAATTATTATTATCTCTTTCCAGCCATATACAATGTCCACGCCGGGCCGCGGTCGTGGCTACACTGGGCGGCATCATCTCAGAGACCCGAGGCCGGGAGAGGACCCAGCTGAGTTAGAAGCTGCTAGGACACTTGCAGAGCTGTCCCCAAGGGCTACAGGTAGGTGGCTTATTGGAGACAAGTGGAACCCTCCAGTTTGTTGAATTTTTCGAAGAGAAAACTTCTTTAGCGGCGTTGTACACTTTTTTTTGTATGATTAAAAAATGTTAAACTCGCGTCAAGTTAAACACGTGGGCTGATCGCATCATGACACACAACTTTCTATGTCCATTTTGGTGAAAAGTAACCAAATATTTCAGAAGACGCAAACGTTTTAATGATAGAATTTAAACACTCTTTATTTGTATTGAAACGAAAACATTAAAATCAGTACCATTAGTACGAGTGCGAGCTCACGAAAACTATCATAGTTTTCGTAATTGTAAAACTCGTACTAAGGGTACTGATGTTAAGTGACAGTGCAGTCGAGACGTGAAGGTAGCTGGTACAGCAGTTTATTCTAAATTACTTCTGCCTCTTTTAAAGGACCTCAGGTTATGGGAGGAAGGGAACACGTGAGCAGGCAAAGCATTCCATTTGCGAATTTCTATTCCCTATTAGTCTGTTCTCGCTCTTCTGAGCGAGCCAGAAAAATATTTCGTTTACAATAATGGCCTGCGCAGACGACGGACTTGACGTCAATAATTGTTCTATTAAATCGAAAAAAATGTATTGTATTTTTTTTTACCTAGAAAGCTACAAAACTTTAATTTTAAATAATTTTTCATGGACATACAAAAACGCTGTCGCATTTTAGTCTGTAGATTTATCTATACTTTGACGTCAAAACATTTGTAAACAAACACTCGCAAATTACCTGTCTGAGTTTATATTATAAAACCACGATTTCTAATAGATTACATGAAATAAACATACCTACCTACTTGCTAAATTCTGTTACTTTATCGATAAGGTTATGAATGTACCCACTAAGTAAAAGTGTAAATAAACGGGAACCCTTCTACAAGATATAAGAATTTTTAGATATAATTTAGTCCGACGTAAGAAACACGACATTGGTGTCGATTCTGGCATAATTCTCTAAACTTAAAACTAAATTTAACGACAGTCTCTCCTTTTCATTCTGTTTAAAGAATGACAAGGATGCACGTTTAGGTTTAGAGAATCGACACCATTGACGTTTAGGTTGTTTACAAATTTTGTGACGTCACAATCATGGTGGACAGCGTTTTTAGTGTATAAAAAGTAAAGATAAAAAAATATTTTTCAAATTAAATTACTACAGCCATCTTCTTATTTTATGCAGTGAAATCGATGTATTTAGGTACCATATACCGAAAATTATAAGAAATAAACTTTTATGTAGTACAATTTGACATGAGTCGACTAGCCTATTGTACCACACTAGTAAAGTAGACAAAGATGCAAAGCTTTATGTAGTTGCACGTATTATGCGATTCAAATTAGAATAGGAAAGCCAATGACCTCTTTCGGTCAAATGTCGCTTAAAAAGTACGGTTTGTAAAAAAAATTCGGAACCCTTTTCTAGCACTCCGCTGATTCTAGAATAAAAACCAAACATTTTTAAACAAACAATAACAAATGTTGATAATTAATATTAGTTGTTTTTTATTTCATTTATTTAGCTTTGACTATGAATGGTTGATAACCTAAATCGTCAACCAAATGTCACTTTATGTTGCGTTCAAAAACTCGATTTAAAACTTTCGTTTACATATAGGATGCATGTTCGTATGTGACCTGCATGATTATTCCTAACTTCTCCGGCGGTAATGCAGAGTTGAGCCAAATTGAAGAGCTAGATTCTGATTAATGTTCTTTTTTCACACAGTCTTAATAAAGAAATACTATTCAAAAATCTGATGTTTTGTCTCACTTAATATTAGTAAATAAGCTTCATTAAATAGCAACATATTTTACTCACTCTACCCATTTGGTTTGAATTGACAGCTATGACGTCAAAATATGGCGCCCCGTCGGTCCTATTCTTAGTTGAATCGCATTATATGTGAGAGAACTAGATAACCCGTCGCAGCCAATAAAAACTGCCAAACAGCCCGCCAGTGTTCATGGAGTTGTAACTTTAGTCGAAAATAAAATTTTTTTTACTTATTCGCTCGTCCGTCTAACGTTCTTCACTAATGCATCGTACGGGACAATTACCTGGTATGCGGAGCCGCACAACAAAAAAAAAGTAATAATAGATATTGGGTTATTTGTTTGCACTCGCAACTTTTTGCTTAGTGCACCTGCTGCCTCCGTCGCGAGTGCACGTCGCCGCCGCGTCAATACTTCTCTAAAACTTAATTATTCAATGAATTAGGATCGTAAATACATGTCAAATCAAAATACTCTTTAATACAATACAAATTAAAAAGCTATTATAGTTTAATAGCCATGGCTACAGACGACCGTGTTACACAGAAAACAGTTACCACTTCAATTTCAGAAACGCGAGAAGTTAAGGTTGACAAATTGAAAGAAGCCGACATGGAGAAAGAAGATATAAGCAAGGACATGTTCCAAGTCGCACCGGACGATGACGCAGCGTTAAAGGAATTGTTGGCTATAGACGAACAATACAAACCTTTATTGGTGCTGGTAAGTATTCATCGTCATTATTAATTAGTCTAATAATTTTCCCATCATAAACCTGTTAATGTCCCCATCATGTGCCTATTAATGTCCCCATCATGAGCCTGTTAATGTGGAAAAAACGATAATATGCACAACTTCAAACGCCTGAATCTCTCAATAATGTTCAAGAAATTAGATCAAATTAATTACTACGACATCAGAAATATGTTTTTGTTGTAACATAATGTATTAGAATTTTGATTTTTCATCTCATTAATTTAAAAAAAAAACATCTAACCTCCGTAAGTTTTCCCAAAAAATAATGCAGGTTTACCTCGTATTTTGATATTGAATTAAATAGAATTACTATCAAAAACTTTCATAAAACTAATTTACCACATTGAATTACCGAAATATGTATATATTTTTATAAGTAGTTCATTAATAATTATTTTATAATACTCGAAACATCGCCCGTAGAATGCAATATAATACTAGTGCAAATCTACCTACGCGCCGATCAGTACGGCAGCGGCGCAGTTTTGTAAAAGGGCTCTTATAGTCAACGATCGCAGAGGAGTTGAAACAGCCCTTGCGGTGAGTTTCTTACCGGTTCTTCTCAGAACAAGGTCTCCCGCCGTAGATTTGTGAACCGATGACGTAGCTTCTGATGTGGGTTACCTAAAATGCGAAGATATGGCGCTGCCTTGCAGCTTAAGAAAGGCTAAAAAGAATTCGACGCGGCCAACAGGGCCGCGGTAGCATAATGGTCAGTGCATTCGCCCAGATAGCCAAGGATGCGGGTTCGAGTCCCGTCTGGTGTCTGATCCACGTGTAAATTTTTCTAGTAATATTTTCTTTAGATAAATATATGTTCTTCTTCTTTTGCAGCTAGAACAATTTTCACTGGGCGAAGATGGCATACAATTTAACCGTAAACTGAGACAGTTTGAAACCACAATAACGACTATGTGCCCAGATGAAGGGAGATTGCAGTAAGTAAATATATAAAATAAATATGTGGTACAGTCTGTGCGGAAAGAGAATGGGATTTAGATTGGAGGGCGCAGTAGTGCTTTTCTACCGTATTTGTAAGGTTTTACCCCTTTTAGACATGATTAAATACAAAAAACCGCAAGAAATCACAACAACAAACAAATCCGTATCAATACAACACTTTGACGTTTTACAGATTGCTGGGTTTGATTGCCAAATAAAAATCTTAATGTTAGTTCCGTTTTTCGCCACGCCCGTTCTCTATCCGCACAGACTACCTACTTTTCATGCTTTTTGGCGAAAAAACTTATACCTTTTTTTTTAATTTCTCTAATCGTGATCATACTTATTCTATTTACAATGTAATTCTAGGGGAAATAAGGACACGTCATGATTATTATTTATTAAAACAATTTTCTTACAATATATATTTACAACTTATACTCTCAAGGAACGTTTTCAATTTCTTGGTGTGGACCACAATCGCGTTTTGCGCTCAAAATAAGATAATGTGATAGAGATTATAACCTCTCACCCGCTCTGAGTATTATATGGACTCCTTTACGATTAAAGCTTCACAACTTTGGAACAAGCTTCCGCCTGAGATCCGTCACGCTAAGTCCATTAACATTTATAAAAATATTCTACATGATTTTCTCTTACTTAAATCCTAGTCTGCTGTATCTATAAATATATAATATTGCATAATATGTTTATTTGTGTAGGTATATAGTATGTATATATTTGTGTAGGTGTATGTTATTTATTTGTTTACTAGCTGTCCCTGCGAACTTTGTACCGCCATAAAAAAATAGGGATTGGTGGCAGAAGGGTGAAAATTTAGGGTTGTATGTATTTGTGTATGATGAATCATAAAAAAATTAAAAAAAAATGTCTTAAATTAATAAAAAATTAGGGGTGGATTACCCTTAACATTTAGGGGGATGAAAAATAGACTACATCCGATTCTCAGACCTACTGAATATGCATATAAAATTTCACGAAAATCTGTCGAGCCGTTTCGGAGGAGTTTAACCACAAACACCGCGACTCGAGAATTTTATATATTAGAGATAATTTTTATATGTTCAAGAAAATATGTACATATCTTTGTTTTATCTTGCTGACATACTGCAACTTCCTCTTCGTTTAGCTATCCTTTACCGCAAAGGTTGTCTGGAAGAGATCGCTTATAGCGATAAGGCCGCCTACATTATGTTATTGTTTACTTATTTTTCTATTCTTTTGTGTATGTGCAATAAAGAATTTATCTATCATATCTATACGCGCAGTCCTTAACAACTTTTTTACCTAACTACTAGTGATCTACATTTCGATCTTTCATAAGGTATACAATATATTTTTAATATAAATATATCTAATATATAAAATTCTCGTGTCGCGGTGTTTGTGGTTAAACTCCTCCGAAACGGCATTCCCGATTCTCATGAAATTTTGTGTGCATATTGGGTAGGTCTGAGAATCGGATGTAATCTATTTTTCATCCCCCTAAATGTTAAGGGTAACCCCTAAATTTTTTTTTTCAATTTTTGATAAATTTTGTTTTTTAATTTTTTTATGATACAGCATTAGTAAATACATATAACCCTGAATTTTCAACCCTCTACCACCAACCCTTATTTTTATAGCGGTACGAAGTTCGCTGGGTCAGCTAGTATATGTATATATATATATGGTTGTTGTTTATTTTCCTTCCATAGACAAGCGTTCGCTACCCTACGAGCGGCTGCATTAATGAACTACACCACCGCTCGGAAGTTAGCCGCGGTCGGGGCTTCTTTCACCAGACAACAGCGACAACAATTGTTAAGGGGGGCACTGTTGAACGTTGTGATGCAAGGCACATTTTCAAGTAAGTAAATATCTTTATATATATATAATTCTTCTGTGAGTGTGTATGTCACTGAACTTCTCTTAAACGACTGGACCGATTTTGATGAAATTTTTTGTGTGTGTTCAAGGGGATCTGAGAATGGTTTAGATTCACAATTTTGTCCGCTGGACAACCCCTATTTTTTTTAGGGCGGTACGAAGTTCGCTGGGTCAGCTAGTGTATATATATATATATATTTGTGTCAATTCTAATATAAACTAAATTTAACATCAGCCTGTCCTTTTCATTCTGTATGGGGAGTAACAAGGATACACTGTTGTCAAAGTTAAGTTCAGGTTTGGAGAATCATGCCCGAATCGACACCATAGTAATAACCAACTTACCGCACCATTCCCCTCTTTCTGAGTGGGCACTTTAGGCAAGTGCCCAGGGCCCCGCGATCGATAGGGGCCTCCCTCAGATCAAATACAAAGTCCCTAGTTTCTGCCAGATCACTAAACGATAGCCAATATTTATTACCAAAAAACTTATATAATTCGAAGAAATCGAACTTAAATTACCTACAATACCAACTTACTAGCTTTTACATAAGCGAAGCTATTCTACTCACTCGATATACTAAGCACATACACATTTTAAAGAAAAATCATCAGTAGTACACTCATGAGTATGACTCGCTCCATTTCAAGTCATAATCCACATCAAAGTCATAGGGGCCCCATTATCCTAATATGCCCAGGGCCTCCAATAGGTTAAAGACGGCACTGTACCGCACTAATATCATAATAGTTAATTACTAGCAAACCAGTGAACCAAATGTTCACCAAAAAAAAAAATGTATTTAATTAATTGAGAACTCCGGAGATTTGGTGTGGTTTCGTTTGAAATAGAAATCACGTGATTTCTCGAAAACCGGAAGTGCTACGTTACTCACATCCGGTTTGTAGTCTTATCAGACTATTCTCAACTTATAACTTAAACATTCTCTTTATCTATCTCTTACGGTTTGGCCGCTGAAACAGCACCACGGACGGACGGACTTGTCTATTAGATAAGAGACTAGCAAACCAGTGAACCAAATGTTCACCAAAACCTGATTTAAAAAAAAATGTATTTAATTAATTGAGAACTTCGGAGATTTTGTGTGGTTTCGTATGAAATTCGTGATTTCTCGAAAACCGGAAGTGCTACGTTACTCAAATCCGGTTTGTAGTCTTATCAGACTATTCTTAACTTATGACTTAAACATTCTCTATATCTATCTCTTACGGTTTGGCCGCTGAAACAGCACCACAGACGGACGGACGGACGGACTTGTCTAATAGATAAGAGATGATATTAGTGCGGTAAGTTTGTTATTATAAACGGTAGTCACGAGTTTGTAAATACAAATAGGGGCCATCCATAAAGTACGTCACACGTTAATAGGCTTTTTTTTCAAAATCTAATTCCTACTTTTGCATTATTACCAAAAATCTTTAAAATGTGTAGATCTCTATCTGTATGGGGTTTCATTTGTTCTTTGGCTAATTTTCGGAACTTATTTCGGAACCGCTGTATAAAAATAATTTCTGAATAGCATAATATGTAACGTGCGTAGCACGGTAAGCCGTTGGTCCCGGCTGCATCTGCAGTCGTTAGCACCCGCCAATCCGCACTGGGCCCGCGTGGTGGGTCATGGCCCAATCTCCCTATTCCATCCATAGGCCTGTGCCCCAGCAGTGGGGACATTAATAGGCTGATGATGATGATGATGATAATATGTAACGTTACACTAGGGAGGGGCCGGGACTCACAAATGTGAGCAACTGTCACAAGGGGCTGTTCAAGTATTACGTAAGCACTATAGGGGGGCAGGGGGGTCTCTGCTTTGCTTATTTTTGATGACTTGGGGGGTGGGGGGTAGAGATGGTGATTACGTCAGCATCATCGATTAAGCCTTTTTAAGTACTGCTGGTTGTGAAGCTCATGAAAGCTCATGAATCAATACTTATAAACTGTGGAATTCCTTGCCTGAGCCCTTGTTCCCCGAGCACTACAATCTAGCGGTCTTCAAAGCAAGAGTGAACCGGTTTTTATTAGGTAAGCGCGCTCCATCGTAGACCATAATATTGCTTTCCATCAGGCGAATTATGGTCAAGCGCTTACCTATTACCGAATAAAAATAAAAAAAGCTTTGCTTACTTTTGCTGACAAGGGGGAGGAGGGGGTAAATTTTTTTTTTTTTTTATAGTTAGTTCCGACAAATGACTCCACCCCACCAGATGTTAAGTGAAGGTGAAGTCCAGACGCGAAGATAGCTGATACAGCAGTTCTACCTGCCACACTTATTGCGATAAATCTGCCTACGTAATACTTGAACGGCCCCCAAGGAGAGGGGAGGGGCAAATAAATCACGTAATTAGTGTGACTTACTTTATAGATGACCCCATACTGCAAGAATGTCATCAGTGCCGTCTTTAACCTATTGGAGGCCCTGGGCATATTGGGATAATGGGGACTTTGTATTTGATCTGAGGGGGGCCCCTATCGATCGCGGGGCCCTGGGCACTTGCCCAAAGTGCCCACAGGTCTTTACATCATCTATCTACTATATAAAAATAAGTCGGGTTTTCCTTCCTGACGCTATAACTCCAGAACGCACGAACTGATTTCCACGGTTTTGCATTCGTTGGAAAGGTCTCGGGCTCCGTGAGGTTTATAGCAAAGAAAATTTAGGAAAAATTAAAAAAAAAATCTTCTTTTAATCACCAAACGAAATGTTACATAAAACGAAGCCATCTGGTGGAGAAACGGAGTTCGCCGGGTTTGCTAGTAATATATATATATTATGATGTAAAGATATATATATATATATATTATGATGTAAAGAATTTTTCCAAAACCTCCTCTCACCTCCTAAAGAGAGAGGTACAACGGGGTTCAAAAGTTAACGCGGACGAATTAGCAGGCATCCGCTATTTATGTAACCCATACAAATTAAATTAACTATCAACATGAAAGTCCAATAGTAATCCTCTTTAATTTTGTATGAAATATAATTAAATTACGGCGGGTGTAAGAGCAGTAGAGTCTGTGCGGCAAGAGAATGGGATTTAGATTGGAGGGCGCTGTAGTGCTTTTCTACCGTATTTGTAAGGTTTTACCCCTTTTAGACATGATTAAATACAAAAAACCGCAAGAAATCACAACAACAAACAAATCCGTATCAATACAAAACTTTGACGTTTTACAGATTGCTGGGTTTGATTGTCAAATAAAAATCTTAATGTTAGTTCCGTTTTTCGCCACGCCCATTCTCTTTCCATGAGTGTACTACTGATGATTTTTCTTTAAAATGTGTATGTGCTTAGTATACCATTATACGTATATTTAAATTTATCTAAGCATGCTGAAGTCGGAAATCCCAATTTTTGGGCGAGATTGGAATAGCTTCGCTTATGTATAAGCTAGTAAGTTGGTATTGTAGTCAGTAATTTAGGTTCGATTTCATCGAATTATATAAGTTTTTTGGTAATAAATATTGGTTATTGTTTGGTGATGTGACAGGAACTAGGGACTTTGTATTTGACTTGAGGCCCCCCTCAGATCAAATCCCCCCTATCGATTGTGGGGCCCTGGGCACTTGCCCATAGTTCCCACTGAGAAAGAGTGCTCTGAATGTCATACAACGTTCTTCAACAGATTTGCGTATAACAGTATCTATAACTTATTTAAGTAATGAAGCAAATTTTTCTAATCAGGGAAGGGAGCCACGCGCGGGTTGTGATAATAAGAACTACATACATCTTTCGAATCTTTTTCGCTTCAGTACTAATGTGAGACAAAGGTAGATTAAAAGGGCATTCAAGAAGGTTCAGACGAAATTAAAAAAGTACCGTAAATTATACGCACGGTGCCATGTATGGGAGCGTGCGGTCAAACGGTTAACTCACGCTACTTTGTATGGCCCGTAACTTTCGAACAATGTTTACAACTTCCGTTAATAATGGCGCCACGCTGGGGTGGTGATAATTAGAACTACATCTTTTGTCTCTTTCTTTTTAGTATTAATGTGAGACAAAGGTATAGATTACAAGCGCTTCCAAGGAGGTTCAGCCGAAATTAAAAAAGAATCGTAAAGGATACACACGGTGCCATGTGTGGGAGCGTGCGGTAAAACGGTTTACCGCACGCTGCTACGTTGAATGGCCAGTAATTTTGAACTTTCGAACAATGTTTACAACTTCCGTTAATGCATTTTTTGAGCAAGTTTGTTGAAAATATAAAACACTAAAACCCGACTGCAGCGTCACCTATCGAATGGGGTAGAGTTATAAATAGGGTATTTGAAAAGTTTTAGAAAACGATCTGACGTTATTAACTAATGTTTATGGAGTACGTAAAAAGTGGTTATTCATCATTCTGTTGTGTATTTCAGTAAAAATAACCAAATCAAAAACTCCATTTTAAAGTTGCCCCGAAAACGTTATTCTGGACAATATGGCGTCTTACTAGTGTGTGACGTCACACGACTGTTATTAAAACGTCAAACGATACAATGTAATGTCACTTCAACCGGAAGTTTACTTGCGTGTGACGTCATTTTAGGCTCCGCCAATCCCAAGCATTTTGGGTCACGTGACAATAGATAAGAAAACTATTATCTTTTTCGTGGGTTTTTAGTAAAATTATGAATATTTTTTTGTAAAAATAGTAAAAACCCCTGCCAATATTCATTCTAAACACAGATGCTAACAATTGGCACTTTATTTTTAATACTGTCAAATACCCTATTGTATTATCTAATAAGTAATTGGTACGGTATTTGTAGTATTTATTAATATTAATTTAGCTCGATGGCGCAGATGGCTAGCGCGATCTGCTGTGATCGTTGAAGTTAAGCAACTTTCGCGATGGTCGGTCATTGGATGGGTGACCAAAAATCTTCTATCTCGAGCTCCTCCGTGCTTCGGAAGGCACGTTAAGTCGTTGGTCCCTGCTGCATCTGCAGTCGTTAGCACCCGCCAATCCGCACTGGGCCCACGTGGTGGGTCATGGCCCAATCTCCCTATTCCATCCATAGGGAAGGCCTGTGCCCCAGCAGTGGGATCATTAATAAGCTGATGATGATGACGAATTTCTACGGAACCCTCGGCGGGCGGTTTTTATACTAATGTCCTGTTTTTTTTATATATATGGAAAAGATTGTCTTTAATATAGTTTTGTCTTTTTGGTTTCAGAATTGGACATTTTGGAGAGAGCCAACCCCCAGTTCCTTATAAACGCGGCTAACTTGATGGGGGACTATTTCGCAGGTAAATATATTATGATTTTAGTTAAAATTCAGCAATAATTTTAATTTAATCACACTAATATTATAAAGGCGAAAGTTTGTGAGTGTGTATGTTTGTTACTTCTTCACGTTTAAACGGCTGGAGCGATTGTAATAAAATTTGGTATGGAGTTAGCTGACACCCTGGATTAACATAGGCTAATAAACCGCGGGTTACATCGCGGGGCATAGCTAGTAAATCAATAATAATAACAAATAATGTATAAATCTAAAGAAAAGTTTTACTAGAAAAAAAAACCACGCGGAAAAGGCAGCGGTCGGGACTAGAACCCGCACCCTTCGCAATCCGGGCGAATGCACTGACCAAATATGCAGTTATGCTGGCCGCGTCGAAATTTTCCTAGCCTTAAGCTGCAAGGCAGCACCATCTCTTCGCATTGTAGGTAACCCACACATTTTTTTCTAGTAAAACTTTTCTTTAGATTTAAACATCTAGTAGTTAAATGCTTCAAAATAAATAAAAACATAACTGTAATTGCTATTTCTTCTTTCAAATGTTTAATACTTGAAAAAGTATTCATTTGAAATCAGAAATCAGAAATCAATATATCTTTATTCAAATTGGATGTATAGTACAACACTTTTGAATCGTCCAAACATTTTTTTTTTCCCTACCACTCGTTATTGGACATATTTTTTAGCTGCGGAGAAAAACGAGCGAAAAAAACTCCACAACATTAAAAGCATAATGTAACAACATTTACAAATCATTATGTTGTTACAACGTCAATACAATCATGATTTATTTACTATAGAAAACCTGTTGAAATGATTGGAACAGTTCAAACCCAAGCATTTTTGTCTGTAATATAATCAGACACTTTGTAATAAGCTTTTTTAATAAGTGCTTTTTTTTATACTATCTTTGAATTTATTTATGCTTAACTCTTGGATATTGCTTGGGACTTTATTGTATAAGCGAACACAAAGACCTTTAAATGAATTATTGATTTTGTGAAGCCTAGTAGCAGGTAAAGTTAGTTTATTTTTGTTTCTTGTATTAAGTGTGTGAACATCACTGTTTTTAAGAAACAAATTAATATTTTTTCTTACAAGTAATAAATTTTCGTAAATGTATTGTGATGCGACCGTCATTATACCAAATTCTTTAAACCTATCTCTTAAGGAATCCTTAACTTTAAGATTATAAATTGATCGAATAGCTCTCTTCTGCAGCACAAAAATAGTTTGAATGTCGGCGGCGTTTCCCCACAATAAAATTCCGTACGACATTACACTATGGAAATAACTAAAGTATACTAATCTGGCCGTATCTACATCCGTTAACTGGCGTATCTTCATTACGGCATATGCTGCAGAACTAAGTCTATTTGACAATTTATCAATATGTGGGCCCCATTGAAGCTTAGAATCTAAAGTAATCCCTAAGAATACTGTGGTGTCTACAAGGCCCATATTCCTATCCTTTACATTCACACTGGTTTTTACCTGTTTTACATTAGGTAATACAAATTTAATACATTTCGTTTTTCCTTCATTTAGTAATAAATTATTAACATTAAACCAGTGGACTACCTTAGAGATACAACTGTTCACGTCGTCAATAACTGTTTCCTTACGTTTGAGTTTAAATAAAAGTGATGTATCATCCGCGAACAATACTATCTCATGCTTATCTCTAACGTAGTAAGGTAAGTCATTAATATAAATTAAAAATAAGAAAGGACCAAGGATTGAGCCCTGCGGAACACCCATTTTAACCGGCGAACCCGCAGACTTATTGCCGTTAATGTCAACCCTCTGAATCCTATCCATCAGGTATGACGCAATAAGATCCAGATCAGTATCTCTAAATCCATAGTGGTGGAGTTTCCTGAGTAATGTTTCATGAAAAACGCAATCAAAAGCCTTGGACAAGTCGCAAAACACACCTAGAGCGTCCTGCGAGTTCTCCCAGGCGTCAAAAATTTGTTGTATAAGTTCAACACCGGCATCGGTTGTTGAACAACCCCGTGTAAAACCAAATTGTTTACAGTGAAGTATATTATATTTATTAAAATGTGATTGCATTTGATCTAACATGATTTTTTCGAAAATTTTACTAAAGGTGGGTAGCACAGAAATTGGTCTAAAGTTTGTGGGGTCTGATGTACTTCCCGTTTTATGCAAAGGAGTTATTTTACTGTATTTCATGAGGTCAGGAAAAACACCACAGTCAACACAATCATTAAATATGCAAGCTAGAATAGGAGCTATTGTCTCAATTACCGATTTAGAAACATCAACGGAATTGCCCCACAGATCCGTGGTTTTCTTTTTATTTAATTGGTGAAACGTTTTAATTACATCTTTGAAGTCAACATGTTTAAAATGAAAATGACTAGTACAAGGTTTCACGTTTTCTCTTAAGATTGATTCAGCAGCAATGGGGGAAGAGTTCAAAGATTTAGTAGTTGAAACTGGAATATCAGTAAAGAAATTTTCGAAAGCTGTAGCAACTTCAATATCTGAAGTAACCCTTTTATTATCAATATTTAAGTTATAATTATTATTGCGAGTTTTGGATTTTCCAGTTTCATCGTTTATAATATTCCATGTCGTTTTAATTTTGTCATTACTGTTCTTATCTTTGAACTTAAGTAATTTGATTTTGCTAAGCGGCATACTTTTTTAAACAATTTAGAATAGTTACGAACATGCTCTTTAAATTTTTCAGTAGTGTTACAGTTTCTTTCATTATAAAGTTCATAAAGTGTCCTTCTACTTTTATGAATTCCAGGTGTAGCCCACTTAGTAAAAGTTACCGCATCATTAATACAGATTTTTTTGGGTACAAAAACATTATTAAATTCAGTGCAGTATATATTAAAAAAATCATTATATAAATCATTTGGACTGTCTTTATATTTTAGATAACACATTTTTCTATCTAATTGAGTTTTAAAACGTTCCACACGATTAGCAGATTTTGGTACAACAGTCATGTGTTTTTTTGTCACCTGCTTGAGCTGATATGGAAATGTAATCAACTGGCCACAATGATCACTATCTAGTTTATTAATAATTTGTTTTTTCTGTGGTATGATATCTGTATATATATTATCAATACAAGTGGCCGAAGTGGCAGCTATTCTAGTAGGCTCAATGAATAAGTTTTTCAGATTGTATGATTGAAATAAATTTTTTATTTTAGTACTCGAACTAGATTTTTGTAATAAATCAATATTGAAGTCACCACAGACAATCAACCGTTTGCCTGTAGTGTAAGTTTTCTTAAGAGCTTCATCCATGATAGCTTCAAAACAATCATACAATGCTGATGGAGGTCTGTATACGCTCAATACAACAAGCCGGTCCAGTTCCACACAGGCAATTTCTATTGTTCGCTCAACCGAGAGGCTCACAATATCTCTTCGTTCCTTAAATTTTAATTTTTTATTCAATAATATTAAAGAGCCACCGCGAATTGCATTTTCTCGATTGAACAAACTACCAACCTGATGATTATTGAAATTAAATATATTCTGACAACTTTTAAGCCAGTGTTCTGTTATACAAAAAATATCTATATTATTACAATTCATGAATAATTCAATTTCTAAGTCCTTACCCATCATTCCTTGAATATTAAGATGCACCAGGTTGATAAAACTTACATTTTTTGCAATGTTTTTGGATGGGTTTTTTTTATCTATATTAACAAAACAATTATTTTTATTTACATTATTATTTAATGTGCAAGAAGAATTATCTTTTGTCTGATTGGTTAATTTAAATATTTATTATGATTTTGGGTGGTTTCAGTAGAATAATTACTGATTGTCATGTCAATAGAATATTGCTCAATAGGAGCAAGTTGTTTAGCCAAATTCTTGGCTGACATAAAAAAGAAATATGATAGCGACTTAGCTACCTGTCTTTTATTATAATTGGAAAGATAATATTTATCTTTCGTCAAATAAAAATTTCTAACATAATTGTTAGAGTCAATCAAATGATATTTATTGCTTTTACAAATTGTATACAAAAGCATATTTAATTTGTATCTTAACAAATTTTCCTCCTTTGGCAGACTGTTGCAGTAAGGCAATGTGAACAATACAATTTTTTTCACATTTAATGCATTTAAATCTGTCACATATTTTATTAATAACTTTTTATTCAAATTGCCTCTATTTCCTATAAAAAACAACAAGGTGTGGCATTTACTGTAGCTATGCTTACTTGCCTTTTCTAAAATATCATTATAAGAGGTACCAGGCATACAGTAATTTGTTATTGAATGTCCCATTTTAGATAAAAGAGGGCCCATATTCTTCCCAATTTCATCACTAAACATTATAATATTGTTATTTTTATTACCTAAAGATGCATTTCTTGAGTGAGTTACTTTCACTGGTGTCAAGTATGTACCAATTGGCTGATGTTGGGAATTAACAGATCTAGACTTTTGTTGTAAAGTGGAGGAGTCACAATTGAGCGATGATTGAGTTCCCAACTGTTTACAGTCACAAGTGTGATTGTTAGTTAATGAATTAAATCTTTCATTATTGTAATTACATAAATCAATTAACTCATTCATGGCCTGCATGTGTTCCTTCATTTCACATTGTGCTAATTCATATTTTTTGGTTACACTTGAGAGACAATCTTGCAGTTTATCTATTTTACTTTGTAAAATTTGAGTATCTGTTTCATATTTTAAACAAATGTTATTATATTTTGCAGAATAAATGTCCAATTTATCAATTAACTGTAATCTCTCCCTGTTTAATTTAACATTTTTTATAAAGAATTTTTGTTTTTTAATTAACTTTTGAGTTTTTTTAATATATCTATTAATTTTTACATATTTCTTTAATTTGTTTCTATTACATCCAACAACCCCCAATTTGTTATTTCTACTGTCATTACATGTAAGATCTATTGTTACAATTGGTTGGTTATTGGTTGCAGCAGAAACCATCTCTGGAGCACTGACTACCAACTCATCAAATAAGCTCTGATTCAACGAGGCAGTTATATTGTGTTTTGACGTTTCTAAAAGTGATATTGTATTATTTGCTTCATGTAGTTGTTTTTCCAGCATGTGAATACGCTGCAATGCTTGATCATACTCACTTCTACATTGATCAAAGCCATCTACGATGAATTGGAGTCTGTCCCGAGCATCAATAGCATCAATGCACTGTTTGTGAAGTTCTGCCATTTCGCTCTTTAACTTTTGATTTTTGTCTAAAATATCTATTAATTCCCTCTCATTGTCATCGCGTTCCTTGTTTAGTTGGTTACATAAATCCTTAGAAGCTTTGAGTTCTCTCAAAGTCAGTTGAAATTTAGACTCCTCTTGACGAGACAAAGCCTTACGAGTCATCATTTTTATATAAGATTAATATTATCTTAGTTGAAATTTAATTAATGTATGTATTTAAATACAACAAGACTTATTTAACCAACAATAGCAAAGATATGTAGGTATTTTATAAAAAAAATATTACCAAAGTTTTTGACTATTTTATGCTTTACACACTTTACTAATATAGAATAAAGTAATAGTCAAGGTATATTAGAATCTAACTTGTAAAAATAACTTACTGAAATTAAGAAAATATCTTGAAAACAGATGACAATGATTCACAATAAAGCCGGTAACTGTCACAGGTTATTTTTACGTAATTTCACTCACTTTACAATCCTTTTATATATTAGCACTTAGTATTTAACTATTATTTAATGATATTATTGGTTTTAGAGCACAATTTCTTTAGATTTTTATTTTTTAAGAATAAAATTAAAGGGACAGTTCAAAATCAGCTGTTTAGCCAGTGTTGCCAGAGGAGGAAAAAAAAAAGTTGACATTGTGGGTTACATACAATGCGAAGAGATGGCGCTGCCTTTTACGAAAATTTCGACGCGGCCATTAGGGCCGTGGTAGCATAATTGGTTAGTGCATTCGCCCGGATTGCGAAGGGTGTTGGTTCGAGTCCTGCCCGCTGCCTGGTCCGCGTGGATTTTTTTCTAGTAAAACTTTTCTTTAGATTTAAACATCTAGCAGTTAAATGCTTAAAAATAAATAAAAATGTATAATATAAGTCTTTGAAAACCTTTTTTATTTTTATTATTTTGATAGTTATCATGAAGTTAAGATTTAAATTTGCTACAATTCTTTTTTATAGCTGTTGGGACGGGATTGTTACCATGCATCTTGTTTTTTTGAGTTTCCGATATTTCGCCACTGTTGCAAGCGCCATGATCACGAAATTTAATTCCGCAAGTAGCTGATTTTTTTTTAACGGATTTCCTCACAGAAAACATATTCTCTTAGTAATTTTTATTATGATTAGTGACCAACAGTATAAATTTTGAAAGTTGTTTATCCATCAATTTGAGTAAGTCCAGTGTTTCCCCATTTTGCTGCCTGGTCCGAGTGAAATTAATTGTAGTAAAATTATCTTTAGATCTAAATATTTAGCGGTAAAATGCTTAAAAAAATTACTATAGTAACAATTTCTTCTTTCAAATGTTTTTTTTCCTCAATGGCTTCGCACGGCTTGTGCATTTAGCCAATGTTAAAAATGTTTACAAATTCTATAGCACTCGTGGTCAAAGTATTATATCAAGTCAAAGTAAGTAGCAGTCAAATCATTCCCCCTTTCCCTGTGTTTCAGTAAATGTGTGGGGATTTACTGGAACCTCCCCGTGGACTTCTTGAGGGAACGTCGAAAGACACTTGCCGCTATTTTGTTTTACTTGCCAACACTTGTGCATGTTCTGGAACACTTAGTGGTTAATAATCCACCATTATTAGACACTAACATCCGCCACAACACATTTTTTAACAAGAAAAACAAAACTGCTAAAGTGACGCTTTCCGATCCCGCCAAAAAGTCCTTTCAAATGTTTAATACTTGTAAAGGTATTCATTTGACATTGTGGGTTACCTACAATGCGTAGAGATGACGCTGCTTTGTAGCCTAAGAAATACTAGAGAAAATTCGAGGCGGACAATAAGTGCCGCTTTAGCACAATGGTCAGTGCATTCGCCCGGATAGCGGAGGGTGCATGAAATTTTTTCTAGTAAAATTTTCTTTAGATTTAAACATATTTCATTATTTTATTCGACAGAAGCTCGTCTCTGCAACGGCAACAAAGTGCATATATTGGCAGCTCCTCTATTACAATATATGAGAGCATTATTAGCCTCAGACGACATAAGGGCACATAGAAGTTTAGCTACGCAGGTAAATATAATTATATTATTATAATAAATTATTTATTTATTAATTTTATTATACAAATACAGAACATACACATGCAAATTTCTGGCAGTTTTCCAAGAATAGGGTATTTGACAGTATTAAAAATAAAGTGCCAATTGTTAGCACCTGTGTTTAGAATGCATATTGGCAGGGGTTTTACTATTATTACAAAAAAAATATTCTTAATTTTACTATAAACCCACGAAAAAGATAATAATTTTGTAAACCAATTTAAGCAAAAGGTATTTAATTGTTTGTTCTCTATAATTTAGGTATATTTTACTTACTGCGAACTATAGTAATTGTGAATATCAAAAGCAATGTCAATTTAGAATTTTGTTTTGTTTTTCATAACATTATATAATCTTAGTGTTCCGTGTTGTGTGATATCGAAGAACCAACTGTCTATTAATTAGCACTTAAATCCTTAAGTTAAGTTTTTTTTTTTTGTTCCTCTTAAGTATATTTAGACTTATGTGTTGGCACTCAAGGTCTATAACTTTAGCTACAGTAAAGAAAAATTGTATCGATGTACATGACTGTTTGTTGTCCAGAATAAACTAAAAAAAAAAAAAAAAATTATCTATTGTCACGCGACACAAGACGCTTGGGATTGGCGGAGCCTAAAGTGACATTACGTTTTATCGTTTGACGTTTTAATAACAGTCGTGTGACGTCACACACTAGTAAGACGCCATATTGTCTAGAGAAACGTTTTCGCGGCAACTTGAAAATCTAGTTTTTCACATACTGAAATACACAACAGAATGATGAATATCCACTTTTTACGGACTCCTTAAACATTAGTCAATAACGTGAGATCGTTTTCTGAGACTTGTCAAATACCCTATTTGGAAAGATGGTCAAGTCTTACCACTTCCCAAAAATCCAAACCTGATTCTATGTCTGATTTCCGTCCTATTTCCATCCATCCTTCCTTTCCTTTCTAAAGTTCTTGAGCGTCTTATACACAATTAAATCACTGAATACCTTCGTGTGAATAACTTACTGAATCCTATACAATCTGGTTTCCGTCCTGGCCATAACACAGTTAGTGCACTTGTCAAAATCACCGATGGCATTCGCTTTGGCATGGCGAATCAGAAACTTACAGCTTTAACGTTACTAGACTTTAGTGATGCCTTCAACAATGTTGACTTTGAAATTCTGTTGAGTTTACTGTGTTCCCTTAACATATCTCCTGCAGTCATTGACTGGTTTCGTAGTTATCTACATGGAAGCCGGCAGCGTGTAATTGTAGGTGAATCTTTCTCTCAATGGTGTACACTAACAACTGGTGTTCCTCAGGGCGGTGTGTTATGCCCTTTGCTTTTTGGTATCTTCATCATACGCCAATGTCCGGTAGTGAGAGAGACACGAGAAAGACTGCTCGAAAGAAACAGATTAAGGTGATATAAAGTAAATAACCGAATATACGTTCTTCCTTGAGCGTTTCACTTTTCTGAAAGCACAACAAACATACACAAAGACGTTACAGGTTAAACAATATTAATTTATATGACATGGGTAGAGCAAACAATTATTTTTAAATGAAAATAGAAAGGTTATTAAAAGTTGGTTTGATGTTGTATTTTTTTATATCTTTACTAGCGGACCCGACAGACGTTGTCCTGTCTACACGTCTTTGTGAATCTAAACCATTCTCAGATCCCCTTGAACACACACAAAAAATTTCATCAAAATCGGTCCAGTCGTTTAAGAGAAGTTCAGTGACATACACACTCACAGAAGAATTATATATATAAAGATATATATAAAACTCAACGGTGACTGACTGACATAGTGATCCATCAACGCACAGCCCAAACCACTGGACGGATCGGACTGAAATTTGGCATGCAGGTAGATGTTATGACGTAGGCATCCGCTAAGAAAGGATTTTGTTCAATTCTACCCCCAAGGGAATAAAATAGGGAATGAAAGTTTGTATGAAACTTTGTCAATTTTAAACCGATCGGGCTGAGACTTTGCATGCGCATAAGAAGAATCATAGATGAATGTCATTGTGTATAATACAAGCCTGAGAACAAAAACTGTAATCTACACTTCAGCTCTACACCGAAGCGAAGCGAGGGCGGGCCGCTAGTTTTTAATAAATCTTGCATTAGAACTTACCGGTTTTGGGTAGCGTTGTGAAGTATTTGAGTATTTATGTTTAGCTAAATATTAAAATTTCTTTTATTGTATTGTTTTTTTATTTAACTCTCAGGAAAACTTTTGCCTTGTATTCCGCACAACCTCCATTACTCGCTTACCTTCTTTTATTTCCAGCTCATTGGGATGTCTGAAAGAAATTGCTCATTAGCGATAAGACCGTCCTTTGTGCAATTTTGAATTTTTCTACTTGTTTTGTTTTCTGCTTGTTTTGTTACTGTGTTATTGTGCAATAAAGAGTTTTTTTCTTATCATATTTCAAGGGCCATACACGAAAACCTGTCAAGGTTTATGTGTGTATGAGAGTCGCTTGACAATTTTGGAAGTAATATCTATTAATTCATATTTACTAATTACAGTGTTCTAGAACATTTCCTGTAAATTACTAGGCAATTTATTGAGATAAAAGATGAAAAATATAATTGACATTGCCATGCAGTTGGCACATATTTCAAAATAATGTGAGAAAGTCTATGTAGAAAAAGTCTAACCACTATAAAATAAATTTATTAACAAAACTGTTTTATCTTTCATAGTTAATGCAAAACGGCAGAGAATTACTCTCACAGCACACTGCTCAAGAATTAGACGATTTATCCATCTCGATCCGTCTACGATTGCTGTCACAACCACCGGTCAGTATAATATGGCTGTTACTGTCCTCCGATTTGTGTTTAAATAAATTCCTACCATTACCAAATACTTTGCAACAGTTCTACGCTTCCCATCTCGAGTTGACCACTGATGAGAACTATAGCGAAGTGAGCTACGGGTCATGGAAAAAATCTCCGGAGAAAGAAGAGTATCGGTCCGATGTTAGTACGGACAGTGTTACAGAGAAAGTTAATCAGAATTTGTCTCAAATAAGTTTGAACGATGAAGTGGATCCAAAGCCAAAACTGAGACCTATATTAGGAGCCGGAGCCGGATTATTAAGGCAAGAACAAGCGTTAAATACTCCAGATAGTTTTGAAACTTGGTCGAATACAGCGAAGACTAGTTTAAGTAAACGCTACGATTTGAATTCTTGGAGGCAAGGTGATGAAGAAAAGGAGGAAGAACCACCAGTTTTTAATCCCTCAGTGTTACCACCGAGCGTTCCAAATTACCCCGTAACCGTGCCAGATTACCCACCTCCAAATCCAAGGTTTAATTACCCAGAAAATGTGATGAATTACTTGCAACAAGGGGATGGAGCTTACATTCAGAATATGCAAAACCAGTTTCCGGCAAATTCAAATTTTAATCAGCAAGGAGATACTTTTCAGTTTTCGCAACCGGAAAGGGAAAGACAAACTGAGAGAATAAATAATGAAACTCAAAAAACTTCTGCTCCCAGAAAACCAGTAGAGAATTGGCGTAGAGAAAAGAGTGACGTCAAAGAGGACCCAAACAGGAATAAACAACGCAACTGGACTCGACAACGGTCCAAAGACAATCTAGAGGACGAGGAAGACAAAAAAGATGGGGAACGGTATCGGTCAAACTCGAGGAATTCTAGGGAATCTCGACCGGCCAATACCAGATTGAATCGGAGAAATAGCGGTGACAGTGAAGTATCTGTGAATACTAATTCGAAGACTCCGACAAGAAGGCATGTGTCCGATGTACCAAGAAACCATAAATACTGGGATCATGATGACAGATGTGACAAAGACTACAATAGTTAGTGTATTCCAACTTTAAATGGACAATTTCAACTGTGATCGTTCTTTCTACAGACAAATTGTTACGGTGTAGTCAAAACACTGTGGAACATTTGTCTCTGTATGGTGCAAATTTTGTGTTTCAAAATACTGTTTAATCGTAAAACTCACGGTTATTGATGAAAATTGAAAGTGTCAAGGGCATTAGTGAATCTGGTAATGAAGTCGATGTCGACTTTATAATTTTAGTGGAAATGTTAATGATCAATATCGGTACGGTAGAAATGCCTTTTCTGATTTAAGTAAGTCGTGCAACTATTTTAGTAAGATTTTGTATATGGAAAAAGGGGGCTATTAAAATTCACACATTGCATTTGTGTCGTTCACCTACTACAAATAATCACAAGTTTGGCATATAATATTAATTAAATGTAATTATCTTGATTATTATTTTGTATTTAATGAAAAAGTGTAACATTAATGGTGACTATTCTAAGAAATAAATAGTATCTTGCTTAATTTAATTTTCTCATGGATTTAATGTTATTTAAGATATTGACTAAATTGAGTGAGCTTTGTTGAGCGGAAAGCGACCAACGGGCATTTTGAAGCATGCGTAGATTTGTTCTATGAACCCAAGTCAAAGCTTGATTCTTTTTGATCCCAAAAATGACCAATAGTCCAATGGTTCGGCTTTTACAATCATACATCAACATTGGTCTACAGAACTCACTTTTGCTAGCCTTAGATTAAAACAAAAAAGTAAGATACGGTACGCTCATACTAGCATCAAATAAAATATGCTCTGATTCAATTACATAAGCAACTCTCACACACGCACACTTCTGTAAATAAACATTCAACCGAGCGAGCGAGACAGAACTGTACGCTTCTGTACAAACGGCTGAGTTGTATTTTTGTCTTTTTCTTGATAACAAAAGGCAAATCAGTTACTAACATTAATGGCAAACCGTGCTTTTTGAAATAAAATAATGATTTATAGTTTTACAAATGAGAAGTGTTGCCGTTGCATTTGTTATTTGATCATAAACTATTTCTTTATAAAAGCATGAAAAGCATTGTTTTATCTTTATATTACATAGAATATACGCAATATTGTTATATTGAGTGCACATGCAGCATGTTTGAATGTCTAATTGTGACTAAAGCGAATTGTGGTCATGCACCACAATTTAAGCGGAACACTTTTGAGCCGCGAGTGTCGTATTTGCTTTAATCTAAATTGCTAGCTTCAAAAACGTCTGCTGGTCGCTTTCAACTTTATGCCACTAACATTTGCAATATGGTTTGAAAATTGCATAGAATTCTCACATGTGATTCTATCAAACATATTGTTATAATTCTAAGACTTTTTGATTGATAAAAGGTCTAATCTAAATTATTAAAATAAAATAATTATCCTATTTTTCCATGTGAATTGTTAGTACCCCCTAATTAGATATGGATGTTAAAAGGTGTCCTTAAAATTAAATTATGATAATTAAATTTATAGTTAGTCTTATAATATAGTAATAAGATACGATAGAAAAATAAACAGATACAAACCGAATTGGTTTAACAATATCTCAATATTGTTTATGTATTATATATATATACAGGTTGCTCTAAAAGTGGCACGTAAAAGTCACACCACTAATTTTTTTTAAATATAATTTTAATTTTCGGTTTTTAGAACGGCCTCAGCCTTGGAAATAACATACCTTATTTCCAAAAAATCCTTCTTAGGGTTCACTTACGTTATTAAAGAAAAATATATGCGTAAAATTTCAGCTCTGCGATTTAAATAAACGATAGATTGCGCCAATCGTAAACTTTGAAATTTTTTAATTGCGTCTCTAGTAACAAATGCAAATTCAATACAACTGTCTTAAAAGCTACGCCGTCGGTTCCCAAATATGCGGTGGGTTACCTTGTCCTTATAAGAATTTAAAAAACTCTGCAAGGGCTATTATATCATTATATCACATAGTCTTAAATTCACTAAACAGAGACGTCTAATTGAAAAAAAAAGCCATACGTACGTATCATTTTTGGAACAGCCTGTATAAACATTTTTTATATACATATAAACGATTCTGCAAAACGCGGTCTTAAAATAATCGCCATAGGGTTTATTATTTGCTCAATTCGATATCACCATACCTCTGTTACATGACAAATTCTTATTGTGCTTAAGGAGCGGTGATTGTGACTTTGTCGAAATTTCAAAGGATTACTAAAATGCAATCAATTATGCGAAACTTCGGATGGCTTTGGTACTAAAATTATCGTTTTAATTTTAAATACGCTTCTTCAGTTACACGTACAAATTTATCATTTTCGATAACCTATTTTAGCTTGTTAAATTATCTCCAGCCAAACAGACCGGAAAGTTAAGCTATGCCGAAGCTAAACTAAGCCAGCTTAGCTAAGATTAGCTAATGGCCCATTTACACTTGGTCGTTAGCCCGTATTCGAGTGCACGAAAGACATTACTCGAATTCGGGCACTCGAAGCAATATTTACACTGGAACGGGCTGGAAGACGGTTTCGGGTGAACAAAAGGAAATCTACCCGAATACGTGCGTACTCGACTCCGTTAATTTACTTATATATTATTACTAGATGACCCAGCGAACTTCGTACCACCATAAAAAAAATAGGGGTTGATTTTAAAGGGTTGAAAATTCAGGGTTATATGTTTTTACTAATGCTGTATCATAAAAAAATTAAAAAAAAATATATCTAAAATTAAAAAAAAATTAGGGGTGGATTACCCTTAACATATAGGGGGATGAAAAATAGATTACATCCGATTCTCAGACCTACTGAATATGCATATAAAATTTCACGAAAATCGGTCGAGCCGTTTCGGAGGAGTTTAACCACAAACACCGCGACACGAGAATTTTATATATTAGATACTAGAGTGGCCTGCCGTCGCTTCGCTTCGGTGTAGAGCTGTAGTTTAAAATTCGATTTTTCTCACCTTTTAAAACTTCCCTAGACGAGCTCGATGGCGCATGTGGTTAGCGCGTTCCGCTGCGATCGTTGAATTTAAGCAACTTTCGCAGTGGTCGGTCATTGGATGGGTGACTGAAAATTTACTGTCTCGAGCTCCTCCGTGCTTCGGAAGGCACGTTAAGCCGTTGGTCCCGGCTGCATCTGCAGTCGTTAGCACCCACCAACCCGCACTGGCCCCGCGTGGTGGGTCATGGCCCAATCTCCCTATTCCATCCATAGGGAAGGTCTGTGCCCCAGCAGTGGGGACATTAATAGGCTGATGATGAAACCTTCCCTAGACCTCCACGAATATTTCAAGACCAAGATAAGGTAAAACCGTTCAGCCATTCTCGAGTTTTAGCGAGACTAACGAACAGCAATTGATTTATATATATATATATTATATTATATATATTATATTATACATATATATATATATTCCAGTGTGAATATTGCTTCGGGTGCCCGAATTCGAGTAATGTCTTTCGTGCACGCGAAAACGGGCTAACGACCAAATGTAATTGCGCCATTAGCCTGATAGTATACAAAGGCAAAAAAAGTCACAGTCAGCGTCGGCTCTTGCCACAATTATTTCGTCTGCTTTGAGAATGTTCGTTAGATACTATTATTATTGTGGTGTACAAAACTGTCTTCAAATGTCAAAATAATAGGGATGATGACTAATTTTTGTTTCTTCTTTTATCAGGTACATTATCAAAAAGTATTGGACACGTATTTTTTCTTTTTTCACATAATATAAACATTGCAGAGATTTATTGATTTGAAAAGTCGCATGACGTCACGTTTTGGTACAGTTTTAAGTGAAAATTCACTCAAAAGTGACGTCACGAGCCCATACTCCCAAACTTTGACGCGCTATAACTTTGTCCCTTTTTGGTTGATTGCCCAAAGAAAAAATACGTGTCCAATATTTTTTGATCATCTAACTGACGGACTAAATAGAATTTCGTTTACTGTACCCCATCATCACCTCTACTATATTATTGAAGTCAAACTTCTTTTCGGATTTACACCCCGTAAATGGAAAAATCCTAGATGAAACGGAAATGCGTCACTAGCGTCGCAAGCTACAATATATGTATATGTACATATATATGAGTGATGCGTACGCTTCTCCATTCCCCTATGCCTTATGTACCGCCTAATGTTAGGGTATTTAAGAAAAGAAGTTTCACTTCAGTAGTTTAATTCGTGCACACTTTTTTTTTTAAATATCAATTTAGTTATGTCGTAAACATCTCAGTGAAGTAAAGACATTTGATTGAAATCTAAAAACACGGCTTGTAGATTTCTTTATAAGTAGACAACTACCCCCAAAAGATTTAGGGAATTATAAATTTACTAACATTTGGTTTAGCGAAATTGTCTTTATAAATTATTGCTCAATAGCCTTCGATCAACAATAATAGATAACGGGTCAGCGCGTAAAATCCTTCTAATATAACCTCACTTGAGGCGTGAGGTGTTATTTTTAATTAGTTCGGTTAATACACAGCCAATGAGTCGGTCAGTAAAAGGTCGTATGTACGAAACAACATTTCGGTATTTGTAACTTTATTCCTTTGTGACATGGTCGTTATTAGGTTCAACTTTAACTGATTTAAAACGTTTAATGTTTATGAAAGCTAACGTAATGAGGGCTATCGCGTATGAATCCGCCGCTAGAGGCGCTAGTGTAGCATGAGGTCTCCGAAATGTCAAATGTTATTGCTTGTTGGTTGACTACGCGTGTTTATTTGTTATTGAAATAATGTTGTGAATAATTGGTAACAATTCGGCTTAATTATGGCAAATATGAGTTATGTGGCAATGAATGTCAGTTATTAAAAATTTGAGCTTAGAAAAATGATTATGTTCCCATTTTTTCCGAATAAAACGGAACTGGGCGTCACTGTGGCATGGCCTATTATGTTTAGGATATGGTTCTTTTGTGTTAAAATACGATCTAAATGTAACCTTTGATTTCATGTGCGTATTAATAAACTTGAAAAGTTACAATGTAGGAACTCACTCAACAGCGGCGCCATCTGGTGAGACAGAAAACGGTAGCCCTCATTGTTTTGTTACTACCGCCATCTAACACCTATAATCGGAAAATAATCACGCGATCTATGCATACCACTCATTCCAGTGCTTCTATTGGTAAGTTAGTTTGCAAATTTGACCAATAACAATTTTTACCTATCTAGCGCTTTTACACATAAGACATTTTGTCATATTTATTTTCCCCTAACTATAAGTTAGTCATACGATTAAAAACTCTCATGTGTAGATTTAGCACAGAAGATAATTTAAATGCCAACTTTACTTGAGCACGCACTTAGGATATATTGTATAAAGTAAATAAATAGAAATTGAACAGACTTATTAACATGAGAGTTCTTGCTTTCGATGTAGCACCAAAATTTCAAATAAACCCGTATAAAAAAGCTACTATTTCGACAAAAATGACACATAACAAAACGTCTGTTCATTGGGAATCGCATCCAACTTAATAAGTATCAGATACACACGCGGACAGTTTTCAGCTTTGATTTTGTATGCAACCCGCTATCTATAGAATTGTTAATCGAATTCGGTAACATAACATGCGACTGGAAGAGGAAGTTACTAAGTACAGTCAAATTACTTATGAATGACTAAATAATGATAATGAATGAATAATATGAATAATGATAAATAGTCCCTCGATAGAATTATCAAAATCCCGCATGTACAGTCGAGACAAGAGATAAATCAATACAGCGGCGCCCCCTAGCATGAGCACCGCGATATGATATATATCGCGTTTTTATCACGCTCAATTGTCAAGTTACTACGGAGTTTTAAAAAAAAACAAAGAAA